AGAAATCATGGCTTTTGATTGTCACTCAATATTAGGTATACAGAAATCATGTCTTTTGATTGTCACATAATATTAGGTATACAGAAATCATGGCTTTTGATTGTCACATAATATTAGGTATACAGAAATCATGCCTCCTGGTTGTCACTCTTCATTAATTTAGAAATCATGCCTTTTGATTGTCACTCTTCATTAATTTAGAAATCATGCCTTTTGATTGTCACTCTTCATTAATTTAGAAATCGTGCTTTTTGATTGTCACTCCACATTAGGTAAAGGAATCATGCCTTTAGATTATCACTCTTCATTAGGTATATAAATCATGTCGTTTTACTTTCACTTCAAATTAGGTACAGACATCATTTTATTTTGATTGTCACTCCAGATTTGGTATAGAAATCATGCCTTTTGAATGTCACTCGACATTTGGTATCGAAATCATTCCGTTGACTGGCACTCCACATTAGGTATAGAAATCATGCCTCTTGACTGTCACTCCACATTTGGTATAGAAATCATGCCGTTTGACTGTCACTCCACATTTGGTATAGAAATCATGCCGTTTGACTGTCACTCCACATTTGGTATAGAAATCATGCCGTTTGACCGTCACTCCACATTTGGTATAGAAATCATGCCGTTTGACTGTCACTCCACATTAGGTATAGAAATCATCCCGTTTGACTGTCACTCCACATTTGGTATAGAAATCATGCCGTTTGACTGTCACTCCACATTTGGTATAGAAATCATGCCGTTTAACTGTCACTCCACATTTGGTATAGAAATCATCCCGTTTGACTGTCACTCCACATTTGGTATAGAAATCATCCCGTTTGACTGTCACTCCACATTTGGTATAGAAATCATCCCGTTTGACTGTCACTTGACATTTGGTATAGAAATCATCCCGTTTGACTGACATTATACATTAGTATATTAATCATGCCTTTTAATTAACACTCTACATTAGACATAGATATCATGCTTTTTGACTGTCACTCCTCATGAGTATAGAAATAATGTCTTTTGACTGTCAATCCACATTTGGTAAAGAAATCATGACTATTGACTCACTCAAAATTAGGTATAGAAATCATGCCTTTTGACTGTCACTCCAAATTAAGTACATAAATAATGCCATTTTACTGTTATTCCACATTAGGTATAGAAATCATGCCTTTTGACTGTGTCTCCACTTGAGGTATATAAATCATGTTTTTTTAATGTTACTCTACATTAGGTATAGAAATCATGCCTTTTGACTGTCACTCCTTTTAAGGTAACTACATTTTATTTATGTTATGAAATGTTTTTCACTTCACCCCCCAAGGGTGACTGGGGAATAGAAGTATGGTCACCATTGGTCTTCCTCCGACCGGCAGTAGAACTCTTGCCAAAGTGGGGCGTCCGTTTGGCTGTGCGGGATGTACAAATTTGCAGCCACGTCCGGTTAGAATGGGAACGTTAAATCCGATGCCTCGTGTATAGAGAGTTCCACGCTCTATGCACGTTAAGAACCCTTGCAACAACTCTTTGAGGGGTCCGTAGGTGACCTGTTGCAAGGCTAAATTTCTGTCCCTATCCAATATTCCCTCATTTCCCGTGGCAGTCTAAATTTCTCCGGCCTTAATCCCTGACGCCTCTATTACAGACCCTACCTATTGTATTTATTGTTAATTTGTTCTCGTCCTGAATATGCATGAAATATTTGCCACTGGACGTTAAGCAACCAACAATCAATCAATCAATCAAAACATGTCATAACATAAATAAAATTGTGTCTCAGTATAAATCAAAATATGAGAGAAACTAAGCCAGATTTTGGTTGATTATTGCCGTGTTTGTACTCAGTAAACTTCTCACCCTCGGTCGTCTACGGAAATCATGTGTACTATGTTATCAAGATTACTGTGTGACATAAACCTGATTACGTTAAATGTTTATGTGGTATTGATTGATCCATCTATTGTAAAATTACAATTGCTCTAAAAATAAATCCTTTAAAACAATTGTATATTTGATCGCACTTACATCATGTACATTAATAAATCTAAAATAGGAAAATCTCACTGACATTAACTATTGCTAACTTAAAATAATTGTTTTTTTTTTCTGATGTTGATAATAAAAAATCAATAAGATGAGGGCGTAAGATAAATATACTTATTGATTCTTTCATCAGTTTCTCCTTTTGGTTGTAATTGTACATCACGACGTGTTTTGGTCAGGGTATTTTGACGATTTATTAATAAGAAATGGCATAGATCATGTTTCGGTGTTGATGTCCGGTGCCAAGATGTACTCAAGGTCAGTTACTTGCTTTACTTTCCTCTTTGTTCCGGTTTTAGAAGTCATCTACATATATTGTAAATGACATCTATACATATGGTTATAAGAATAACCAGTATAAATGTTGTACACAGCAACATATATACAGCATTGCTACAGATACACCACGCGTTCGTAGTATATTACTGTACGTATTAATACAGACCCATTACCAGTATATTGTTGTATACGTATTGTAGAAGGAACAATTCTGCTTGGGATTCGGATCACAGCTTATTGACTGAATGGGATGTCGAATGGAATAACGATAAATATCTGAAGTAAATGAAACGAAAACAGTATAAACAAAATGTATAATTTATAATTATTATCAAAATACAACTTTTATCATTTGAACTTCCAAATTTATCAAAATGAAGCATACATTTGAATAGTTGATATGTGGCAGTTGCACTAACCTTATTTTGGAATAGCTCGGCTTTCCTTATGTTGGACTGGTAGGCAGTCGTCCTCGGACCATTTGATAAAGTGAGCTAAATATTATAGATCTACATTTCAAAGGTTCTAAATTTTGGTCAGTAATATTTTTAAACATTTCCACACCAAGATAAATACATTTCTGAATATTCGAAATTTCTTTCATAAACAAATTATATAAACCAAAACCTATTGAATTAACTAATTAGTAACTTGATTTAGCATTACACAAATGTTTATGTAATAAATATGAAATTTGGAGTTAAACGATGGCGCTAACACCCCATTTTCCTACAGTATTGACGATTATGTTATCATATACGTATTGACGATTATGTTATTGTATACATATTGACGAGTATGTTATCATATACGTATTGACGAGTATGTTATTGTATACATATTGACGAGTATGTTATCATATACTTATTGACAAGTATGATATTGTATACGTATTGACGAGCATGTTATTGTTTACGTACTGACGAGTATGGTATTGTGTACGTATTGACCATTATGTTATATACGTATGGATTGTGTGTTATTGTATACGTGTTAACGAGTTAGTTATTATGTAAATATTGACAAGTATGTTATTATATATGTATTGATATAGACTAATTACGAGTATGTTATTGTATACATATTGACGAGTATGTTATTGTGTACGTATTGACGATCATGTTTTTGTATACATGTTGACGAGTATGTTATTGTATACATATTGACGAGTATGTTATTGTATACATGTTGACAATTATGTTATTGTATACATATTGACAATTATGTTATTGTATACATGTTGACAATTATGTTATTGTATACATGTTGACGAGTATGTTATTGTATAGATATTGACAATTATGTTATTGTATACATGTTGACGAGTATGTTATTGTATACATATTGACAATTATGTTATTGTGTACGTATTGACGAGTATGTTATTGTGTACATATTGACGAGTATGTTATTGTGTACATATTGACGAGTATGTTATTGTATACATGTTGACAATTATGTTATTGTATACATATTGACGAGTATGTTATTGTATACATATTGACGAGTATGTTATTGTATACATATTGACGAGTATGTTATTGTATACATGTTGACAATTATGTTATTGTTTACATATTGACAATTTTGTTATTGTATACATGTTGACGAGTATGTTATTGTATACATATTGACAATTATGTTATTGTATACATGTTGACGAGTATGTTATTGTATACATATTGACGAGTGTGTTATTGTGTACGTATTGACGAGTATGTTATTGTATACGTATTGACGAGTATGTTATTGTGTACGTATTGACAGTTATGTTATTATATGCGCATTTATCCTTCAATTAGTCAACTATTGTACAAAAAACAGGTATACAAATAAATTTTTTGCTCTATTTGTACTTGTACAAATAAAGTCTTCTGTTATCCCGCTTCCATGTTGAGCAAGCGGTAATGTGAATATTTCTTATTGTATAACAGTTCATTTTGAGGTCCTCTTCGCGGTTCGCGTTTAAACTATGTCGAGTTCTATGAAAAATCAGAGACAACTATTTGGATTTAAACAACTAAAGCTTCAAGTGCCGGTGTAAATTGCAGGATAAAAACAATATATGTAAATTGTCGGATTATGAAATGTATTTGTACTCGCTACGAAACAGGAGAGAAGCTCGGCCATCCTCGCTTTTCGTCCTGTTTCTAAAGCTCGTACACATTAATTTCGTATTTTCCGACAATGTACATATATTGTATATTGATGGGTATGTTGTTGTATACGTTTTGACGATTATGGCATTGTATACGTATTGACGATTATAGCATTGTATGCATATTGATATAGACCTATAACGGGCATTACGAGTATGTTATTGAACTGGGTACCTATTTTCTTTGGGACGTAATTCCATTTTTGAAAGATTCTTGTATCTTGGTTTTTAGTTTTATATGATGTGTTGTTGCTCATTGTTTGTGTTGGTTCTCTTTTGGTAATGGTTATGTTTGCTAAGTAACTCCTGGTTTCTGATTGTCCCATTGTTATCTTTCCAATTTTCTTATTTGTAATTGTCCTATCCTTTTGTAATTGTCTTATCCTTTGTAATTGTCTTATCCTTTGTAATTGCCATATCCTTTTGTAATTGTCGTAAACTTAGTTGTAAACTTTACTGGTAGATATATAATGAATACATGCTGTTAAAGAAAAATTTCATTTTTTTCCAGGTCTGATAATTCAGTCACCATGACATTAATGGAGGAGAAGGAGAAGGAATTTGAAGATCAGAATGGTTCTACTCCTCACCCAGAACCTAACAGTGATATTACAATAGAGGATGAAATTCACATCACCGATGATTCACTCATCTACGGTGTTACTGACAACCCTCCAATACATCTCACTATATTATTTGCCTTCCAGGTATTTATTTTAAAATTTTCATATCTGCAAAATATATATCTCCTCAAGTGCGGTCGTTTGTTCTATTAGTCATTTCATTTCGTTAACACAACTTTACATTGAAAGATATCCAAGCCAAAATGATTTCTGTCGATAGACATTGTGTTTTGATCATGGTAAGATATCCTAGACAAAATGATTCCTGTCGATAGACATTGTGTTTTGATAATGGTTAGATATCCTAGACAAAATGATTTCTGTCGATAGACATTGTGTTTTGATCATGATTAGATATCCTAGTAAAAATGATTTCTGTCGATAGACATTGTGTTTTGGTCATGGTTAGATATCCTAGACAAAATGATTTCTGTCGAAACACATTGTGTTTTGATCATGGTTAAATATTCTAGACAAAATGATTTCTGCCGATAGACATTGTGTTTTGATCATGGTTAGATATCCTAGACAAAATGATTTCTACCGATAGACATTGTGTTTGATGATGGTTAGATATCCTAGACAATATGATTTCTGTCGATAGACATTGTGTTTTGATCATGGTTAGATATCCTAGACAATATGATTTCTGTCGAAAGACATTGTGTTTTGATCATGCAGACAAGGATTTTTACAGAAAGGTATGACCAATTTATTTCATGTCTAATGAAGTGGAGAGCATCTGTGACTCTTTATTCTCACACTAAAAGTTTAACATTTTTTTACAATAATTTAACTCCAAAATATTCCTTTTTACTGTGAGATTACTGTAAAACATGTGTTACAGTAATCTTCTACCAACTTACCGATCTTGGTACTGTTATTGAATCAAAATCAGGGGGAAAGTGGCTACACTCAAGTTCACATGTAAATTACCATAGAGGTATGTTGTGATGCAACTTTTTCCTTGTGGACTATCATTTCCGGGGTCAACCGTCCGTCCAGTAGCTAGTAATTTGATACTGACTCCCATGGTCAAACTTCCACCCAGTCACCTGTGATTTACTATCGATTCCCAGGGCCAACCGTCCACCAGTATCCAGTAATGTTCTACCGATTCCCGGGGTCAACCGTCCTTCTATTAGCCAGTAACTTTCTACCGATTCCCAGGGCGAACCGTCCACCAGTTTTTAGTAATTTTCTACCGATTCCCGGGGTCAACCGTCCTCCTATTAGCCAGGAACTTTCTACCGATTCCCAGGGCCAACCGTCCACCAGTATTTAGTAATTTTCTACTGATTCCAGAGGTCAACCATCCACCCAGTAGCCAGTAATTTTCTACCGGTTCCCAGGATCAACGGTCAACCCAGTCAGCCAGTCAATGTCACTCGACTTTGCAAATTGTCATGCATAAGTGTTGGTAATAGGCTTTTGGAATGAAGTCTGTGATAGGTCAACAGTATTTGGTAGTTGCAGATACATTTTCATGTAGTACCCGGTCGGAATGGGATTGTTAAATCCGATGCCTCGTATAGGGAGAGAGTCACACTCTTTGTACATTAAAGGAACCTTGCAACAACTACCTAAGAGATCCATGGGTGGCCTTTTTTATTTAAAAGTTTTAATTTCTACCCCTAGTTTTTTAAACACCCCATTTTCTCCTAGCAGTTTAAAATTCCTGCCCTATATTTCGATTGACCACCTTGCATAACCTACCTATTGTATACCTTTTCAACTGTTCGCGACCTGAATATGTATTGTACTATTTGCCACTGGACGTTAATAATACAACAATATACAAATCATGGTATAGAATTTTTAAACGATCGTGATGCACTACAAATGCAACAACTGGAATAGAGTAACATAAAAGACATGTCTCAAACGCAGTAATGCAAATATGCAGTTACAAAATGTAGATCATATCAGTCAGGTGCTTGCTACTATCTCCCAGTTTTCATGGCGAAATAATTTACATCAAAGAATAATGTTTCTTTAATCATCAGTTTCACACCTAAACATACTATTCTAACGGCAAAATTCAGCTACAATGTATAATATAGTTCAAACAGGAAGCCCAAAGCTTCAGCCTATAATATGTAAAATAGACACATAATGATGTAATATAACTACATAATACCTTCTTTTATTTCTTTGTTCAAATTTAAGCATACTAATACATGTAAGTTCTTTGCTATAACTTTAACTCTTGAAAGCATTCCTCTTTCTGGCCAACCAGTTAGCATTGTCTATATTTCTTATACCTAAGCTGAATTGGCAAAACATTTGGGTCCTGGATGTTCTTCAACGTATTTCATTTGGCCTTTTGAACTTTTTTTATACCCCCTTGTCCGTCTGTATGTCTTTCCGTTCTCTTAACTTTAGTTTGCCTCAACTAAATGTCTTGAAACTTATACACAATGCTTATTATCACAAAACACAGATCAAGTTTGAATTTGAGTGGCGTCACTTTTGCCGGTCTAGAGTTATATCCCTTTACAAATGGAAATATTGCTGAAAATTTCGTTTCCGTTCTTTAACTTAAGTTTGCCTCAAACAAATGTTATGAAACTTATACACAAGCTTATTACCACAAAACTCAAATCAAGTTCGAATTTTGGTGGCGTCACTATTACCATTCTAGAGTTATGCCCCTTTATAACGTTATATACAAGCGGGGGCATCCTCATGTCCCATGGACACATTCTTCATTTATTTATTCGTGCTTTTGAGTCTTTTGAAGAAAAAACACGGGTCAAGTGTATCATATTTTAAGCCTGGTTCTATGATGAATGTATATTCTACCCTACCCCTGAATAAATTATATCTATACATTCAGCAAGCAATCCTCTCTTTAGCAAGCAAGTTTGCATTGTCTATGATTCGACCACATCCCGGATTAAGTTGTTTCTATACTTTCAGCCAGAACTTCTCTGGTAAACCAGTTTGCGTTGTCTATCATTCTATCCACTACAAACCAGTAAAAGTCTGAAATGGCCTATATTTGTACTCGACTGTACTGATTTTTACTCGACCAGTCTGAATTGGTCTGAAATTTACTTGATAATACTCGACTGTAGTCTGAACCATACTTAACAGTCTGAACTTGTACTCGACCTTTACTCGACCAGTACTTAACCATTTTATTTTCGTCTGAACCATGCTCGACCTAGTCTGAACCATGCTCGACCTAGTCTGAACCATACTCGACCTAGTCTGAACCATACTCGACCTAGTCTGAACCATACTCGATTAAGTCTTAACCAACCTAGACCTAATTTTTTGTATCTATCTATTGTATTTCATCAAATTAGGAACTGTTTTTAACAGCTATTTCCCCTGGCTAGACATTTGAACAACAATTTGAAATTTAAAATGTATTCAATATGGCATTGAAACCAAAATTTCACAATAAACATAATATAAATTCAACACCATATTTATCAACACTACATATATATATCACCTTTAAAATAAAAATAAAACAAGCTGATCAAATAATCTCAAAACTGAATTGTGACTAATATTTTCAATTTTATTCAAATTTTTTGAATGTTTCAGATATATTTTATGGTTACTAGACAATTTTCACCATTTACTTAAGCCTTGTATAGATTTATGGTGTCAGTTGAGTTTAGTTAATAATGCAGTGATTTTTTTTTTTTTATTAAAATATATTTAAAATAAAGCAACTTAATAAATTTTAAAAATCACACCTTTGTTTTGTAAAAGCACTTTAATAAGGTTTAATTACCTCAGTACATGTGTGTTTTACAGGTAAAAAGAAAGCCCTTTTTTTTCTTAAACTCGTGTATTACTTATCTAGTGAATTCAAAAGGCCTTGCGATTTAAGTTTTACAGGATGTTGCAATTTTTAATGAATGTTAATTAGAAATTAATACTCTCTGACCAGGTGTGATCTTTTTAATGAGTTTGCCCCAAGCAGGAGGTATAACTTTATACTTTACCACTAATCAGAAGAAAAAAAAATATCTATTTCTTTAATTTTGTTATCCCTTTTTGATATATATTATATATAATATATCCCAAATTATAATAAGAATAGATATATTTCTAATATAAGGTTAAACAATTTCAGTGATTTTTTTGGCTGTTGTTACCTCATTAAAAAGATAATTATATAACTATTGTATGTAACCATGAAACCTATATAGTTTTTCTTTAGGAATTTAGGAAAATTATGTTTAAAAAAAAAAAAAAAAAACACATGCCAAACAAGAAGCACCTTCATAAGGTTTTATTACCCTCAGTAAAGGTGTGGTTTTTAGTTACAAGACAATCTTTTTTTTTAACAAAACTCTAAAACTTTAAAATTAATATAATTAAATTATTATATAAGATAATTTAATTTAACTATCTCTATTTGATAAATCTGAGAATCATGTAAGGATGTAAAAATATGTTTTTATATATATCTTTATTTTATTGTGGCTGTTGTCCTGTCAGAAAAAAAAGAAATTAATTTTAACAGCTAAAATTAAAAAAAAGTATAGGTTTTTTGGTCAAGTATGGTTCAGACTGGTCGAGTATTGTTCAGACCTTTGGTCGAGTATGGTTTAGACTGAAAAAATTGGTCGAGTACAGGTCGAGAATAGGTTAAGACTGTTTCAGACTGGTCGAGTAATAGTTCAGACTATTTTCAATGGCAAAGATAAGGGTCAAGTACAAATCAGTATGGTCGAGTATGGTTAAGACTGGGGTCGAGTAATGTCGAGTAAAATTCAGACCAATTCAGACTGGTCGAGTAAAAATCAGTACAGTCGAGTACAGATATAGGCCATTTCAGACTTTTACTGGTTTGTAGTGATCATACCCCTGAATAAGTTATATCTATAATTTCAGAAAACACTCATCTCTCTCGAGTTAGCATTGTCTATAATTCCTTCATACCCCTGAATAGATTATATCTATACTTTCAGCAAGCACTCCTTTCTCTGACAAATCAGTAAGCATTGTCTACAATTCTACCATACCCCTGAATAAGTTATATTTTTACTTTCAGCAAGCACTCCTTTCTCTGGCAAATCAGTAAACATTATCTACAATTCTACTATACCCCTGAATAAATTATATCTATATTTTCAGCAAGCACCCCTTTCTCTGACAAACCAGTAAGCATTCTCTACAATTCTACTATACCCCTGAATAAATTATATCTATATTTTCAGCAAGCACTCCTTTCCCTGGCAAACCAGTTGGCATTGTCTATAATGGTAGCTGAAGCTGTGTGTGGAGAAACAAATGGCATGTTTAAAACGAGGCTCCTCAGTACAACTCTATTTATGGATGGTATTACCACACTGATGATGATTTTGTTTGGAGTGAGGTAAGAATAAAAATTGTGTAACACTTTTCCTTCAAAGTTGAGTAGAAAGTTTGTCTAAAAAAACTTGATTAACAATCGGGCAAAATTAGTAAGATAAACATACCACATCTTATTTTTATAGTTACTGACCACTGATTACAATAAGGCAAGGGAGGTAAGATAAAGATAGTTACTGACTACTAAATACAATCAGGCAAGGGATGCAAGATAAAGATAGCTACTGACTACTAAATACAATAAAACAAGTTTGGTAAGATAAAGATAGTTACTGACTACTGATAATAATAAGGCAACGAAGATAAGATAAAAATAATGACTGACTACTGATTACAATAAGGCAATGAAGGTAAAATAAAGGTCGTTACTGACTAGTGATTACAATCAGGTAAGGGGGTGAATTAAACATAGTTACTGACTACTAATTATAATCAGGCAAGGGAAGGAAGATTTGCATTGTTACTGACTACTGATTACAATCAAAGAAGGAAGGGAAGAAAAAGCGAGTTACTGACTTCTGATTACAATCAAACAAGGGAGGCAAATTAAAGATAGTTACTGATTATTGATTACAATCAGAAAGGGAGGCAAGGAAAAGAGAGCTACTGACTACTGATTACAATCAGGCAATGCAAGTTAGATTAACGTATATAGTACTGACTACTTATTACAATCAGGCAACTGAGATGAGATTAACATAATTATTGTTATAGTTACCCATTATGATAAAAAAAAAACTGCCGACAATGTTATAGTTATCCATTATGATAAAAAAAACTGCCGACAATGTTATAGTTATCCATTATGATAAAAAAAAAACTGCCGACAATGTTATAGTTATCCATTATGATAAAAAAACTGCCGATAATGTTATAATTACCCATTATGATAAAAAAAAAATGCCGACAATGTTATAGTCATCCATTATGATGAAAATTGCCCGACAATGTTAAAGTTATCCATTATGATGAAAACTGCCCGACAACTCCTCACAGGCGTTATAACCTTTAAAGTCATATGATACTTCATTTAACAAAATCTAAGTTTTACGATAAAACACTTGTACATAGACTTTCTGTTAAAAGAAAATCCTTTATCTATCCAAATCATCAAATTGTACTACTGTTGAATTATGTCTTTCCCAACTCTAATTCGCTAACAGACCTTAACCATGGCATCTCTCGTTAGAAATTCAGCAACCACGTAGAAGAAGTGCAAAGGGAAAATCAGTTATGAAAGATAAGGTAAACAAATGTGAAAAGAAGATAGTAATGACAAAGTTAAGTTAACATGGACAATATAAAAAAAACTTAAAAAAAACAAATAAACATCGCTCTATCATCCGTACTCCATGATTCTTTGTTGATTGTTAATCAAGGTCACAATCAGTAATTTCGGCACAAAACCTAAAAAAAAATAATTAGATACCAAAGGTTTTTGAACAACAGACAATGAATTAACTATTTTTAGACGAATATACGTTACTGGTTCGTAATATATATGTTCCGGACCATATGAGTATTTGGATCATTCGCGTAAGGTCGGACCATAAAATTATATACTCGTTTGGTTATTAAAGGACTGGACCATATAACTATTTAGACCATTTAGGTATTTTCCAAATAAATTTTAAAGTCTTGCGCAGGAACACAATGCTCGTTCTCCGAACCAAAATCGGCACAAGTTACTTACTGAAATCCTTTATCTTTGACATGCTGTCTGAATCTTCGTGTATCTGTTATCTTGTCTTCGCTAGAGTCAATTTAAAAGTGCCTTTATCCTGTCGACTTTCAGTTCCGTCCGTGAGTGAAACTACTGGCGGTTTGGGAATGGACTTTTTTCCTTCTTTCACCGGTGTTTATATTATTTTATTATGTCCCCGCCGCAGCGTTCTCTAACTTAAGTTGGCTTCAATGAAATATTGTGTAATTTATACGCAATACTTATTACCTCAAAACACAGATCTGAATTTTGATTTTGTATTTTGGTGGCGTCACTTTTACTGTTCTAGAGTTATGTTCCTTTACAAATGGAAAAATTGCTGAATTTTTCGTTTCCGTTCTCTAACTTAAGTTTGCCTCAACCAAATGTTATGAAACTTAATATACACAATGCTTATTGCCACAAATTCAGATCAAGTTCGCATTTGGATGGCGTCACATTTACCGTTCTTGAGTTATGTCCCTTTATAACGTTATATGCAAGCGGGGGTATCATCTGTGTCCATTCTCCATTTATTTTTTTAATTATTCTTATTTGTACTTACTTTAGTTTTCTATGTTGTGTTGTGTGTACTGTTGTTTGTTTGTCTTTTTCTTTTTAGCCAAGGCGTTGTCAGTTTATTTTCGACTTGTGAGTTTGAATGTCCCTTTGGCTTTGGTTTCCTTCGCCTCTCTTTCACTTACTTGATTTGTTATTGCTCCTTTTCATAGGATCTTACAACAACAGTAGTTTATACGTGCTGCCCCTTTATTCTTATATTCGACGTTAGCTATAGAATAGGAGCATATACACATTTTAAAAATAACTAAACTTAATTTGAAATGTGTAAAAAATCTTAATTTACTAAAACCAAATTAAACACCAAAATAAATAAGAAATAAGATTTAAAAAAGAGCATGGAATGCCCCAAGTGCCTTTGAGTTTCATTAGATATTTCTTGAAGTTATATATTCCAAAATTGAAGTCGACATATTGTGTTTCGTAAGAAAAAGTAGATAATCAACGTTTATCGTAATAAATACCCGGACCATACGCGTAAGGTCCAAAATGTGAACCAGAGTCATGTTATATTTGTAAACTGTTTGATGTTAGGCAAAATGTATTGAATTATATGAAAATAACATTATCTTGATGTTTTATTATACATATTATAAAAACATTAAGTATCCACCTGCCTTGACAAGTTGAAAAGACCAATATCTCCTTCAATAACAGAACATTTACAAATGATGAAAATCCTGATTAGTTGTCACAAAAGACTCTAAATTGAACACCCTTGATTTCATACTGTATGTGAATTGTGCATTTGCCTGTACCAAGGAATATGACAGTTGTTTTCCTTTCGTTTGATGTGTTTGAGATTTTGCCATTTGATAAGGGACTTTACGATTTGAATTTTCCTTGGAGTTCGGTATTTTTGTTATTTTACTTTGTATTATGAATACCTTGAATGGAATTTTTATTTGTCCCTGGGATATTTTTCAAAAATTATAATGACTTATTACAAAAACAATATTAACAATTTAGTCACGGAAAATTGTAAATTTGCGATGTTTTATTGATCTTGAAATCCATCCATTTGTAAAATTGTCTAAAAAGCTGAATAAATTTGAATGAATTTATAACTTTACAAATATAGTATAAAATTACATATTTATTCATTATGTTGTCAGGATTCATATATTACCTTTCTTGTTTACTTTACTTGAAATGTTTGTTCATTTGACAAGCTAGAATAATTTTGAAAAAAATAAGATATAAGGAAAATGAATAAATTGTTATTGTAATTGAATAAATATATATTTACTCAGAACATGCGAGTATTTCTAAAATATAGAATACTAAAGTCTGGTGAAAGTTGACAAGGCTCAATGCCAATATAAGAGTTGACTTGGTGTAAATCAATTCCGTTTTCAATAAACTTTTTCAACAATGATGTCACCTCCTCTCAAACCTAAACAAACTCTTAAAGAAAGGAGTAAGTTTACTTAACTAATAAATTTGGCTCTAAAAATCTGTAAAAATTTAACGGCAATAATATCGTGAAAATTGGATGAAGACATATATTAAAATATTCAATTGTTTCGATTAAAACATTTTTTTTTCACCAATTGCATCATATAGTGATGTATTTGTGGGATGTCAATTGTGTAGAAGAATTTCGTTTAAATCTGATTTTTGCATAATACATCCCAAGCCCACAAATATTTTTTTTGGAAATATTTTTAATACCATATTTTTTTCTTTTCAACCAAATTGGGCGAGGAGTAGCACTACATATGAAATCACGAACAAATGGTGATAAGGTGTCAAATTTCTGAAAAAATGAACTAAAATGAAATCTATTCCTTTTACAGGCTATTATCATGATTAAATTAATGCATCTGAAGCAGATATATAATTGATCTTATTACACTATCAAAAATAATACATTCAGTAATACAAACACAGAATATCTACTTATACACTTGAAGTTTAGAAAATAATTCTTTACAGGTTGATTTATTGTGGCTGCTAGCTCTACTCATTATATTTAAAGTAAAAACTGACAAAAAATATAAAGTCGGAATTTATTGGATTTGAAAATTTTATGTCTGTTTATTTTTCAGCACTTTAATTAGGTTTCGATTTATATCATTTATATTTAAGTAAAGTTGTCAGAAGATTTAACTTAACAGGTCCTTAAAATAAAGTGGGTTATAATGGTTATATTATAAACCACTTGTCAATCATGTGATGATTATTAATAAATGATTTCTTTTGTTGTGGAGTTTATAAGTCATTTCTTTCCTTTTTGACTTCTTTTCCTTAAACGTTCACATAAATAAAAAAAACAAAAAATTAGAAATTAAATGACATAAAAAAATGGTGAAATAATGGTGTTATATATCAAATGGCTTTTATTTCATTATGCTCACACAAATATTTAAATATTGCTCAATCATGTTTCCTGTTATGCTTTATTTGCAGATAGCGAATTTTGTACACACGATTTTTTTTTCTAATCCACCCGTGTAATGTATGCTTCTATTTAACTTTACAGGTTACCATTGTTCCAAGGTGCAGCTTTTGAGTACACAGTGCCGTTACTTGCCCTGCAGACCCTTGATCCTGAACGATGTGATCCACAAATAATATCTGGTATGTTAACCGGGTCAGTAACACATGACAAAATATATCTCAATATTCAGTTTGCATTGCGAAAAGTAAAATAACAAAAATACCGAACTCCAAGGAAAATTCAAAAACGGAAATTCCCTTATCAAGTGGCAAAATCAAATGCTCAAACACATCAAACGTATGGAAAACAACTGTCATATTCTTGACTTGGTACAAACATTTCCTTATGTAGAAAATGGTGGAATAAACCTGGTTTTAAAGCTAGCTTAACCTATCACTTGTATGGCAGTCGCATAAAATTCCATTATATTGACAACAATGTGTGAACAAAACAAACAGACATAAAAGGTTAAAATGTCAAAAATAGGGATACAGCAGTCAACATTGTGTTATAATCCTAATCACTATAAAAACAAACAAATATGTTAACAAAGAAAAACAAAATTGCATATAGACAAAGCACATAAGAAAAAATGAAACACAAGAATACAAAAAATGACCACAGCACAACAACACAATGGAGGGATGCATAAGTAACGAGCCACTCCAAAAGGATATTACCAAAAATGGACTAAACAGTTAAGGTAAATAATTTACACAGACAAATAAAAGAACACTATAGCACTTAATTAAGATAATGAACAACTTCAGTACCTAGAATCTATACTTCAAGATCATCATGTATTATTTGTGAAGTTGATACATGTACAGAATATTTATCAACAAGGTCTTGGTAACTTCTGATGATTTGTTTACAATATACTTTGTACATATTCAGTTGTATCATGGTATTCACTATCTGCAAGTGTGTATACCAAAATTACAATTTTTGTCAACATTAAAGTGTATGTATTTTAAGTTCAATGAATAATTGTATCTCTGAATCTCCAGTTTAGCAGCATATCAAGGTCTTTAGTAACATCATAAGGTTGGTTAAATTCCATTTTTATCTTAGCGTTATAACACAGGTATGCAGTTATTAGGAGTTTTAAGAAGGAGTATTTCTTCCCTACAATGCCAAGGAGTACAACTTCACATCCAATGTCTATATGCCAGTAGTTGTAGAGACACATTATAACAAAAATAAACAAACAATTAAAACAGAGTCGACAGATACCAAAGGGACATTCAAACTCATAAGTCAAAAATAAACTGACAACGCCATGGCTAAAATGAGAAAAAAAACAACAGACAAACAACAAAACACGACATAGGAAACTAAAGACTGAGCAACACGAACCCCACCAAAAACTTGGGGTGAACTCATGTGCTCCGGAAGGGTAAGCAGATCCTGCTCCACATGTGTCATCCGTCTTGTTGCTCATGTAAGTACAAACCATGTGATAAGTCAAATTCGGTAGGTCACATTTGGAGAAAAGGATACGGGATTGAAGTTACGACAATTTGAAAATTAGGCGTCATCTGTGACACAGATATTTCATAATGGTCAACCAACTCGTGATGTTGTCTGTAAAATTTACAAAGGGATGATTCAACTTCACCACATGAAACTCTTGGTTTGATAGCTTCCTAGTAAGCTGCAACCCTCTATCAAGGAAATCATGATAGGATATACAAACCCTGGAATATTGTGTCATCTGGAAGATATATACTCCGTATGCAGGCGTTTCTGAAATGTTGCTACATAGAAATGGAAAATTAAGTACACAATTGGGAAGCTGAAATCATCTCTTTTGTCGAAATGACACTTTATAAATTGTGTGCGTCTTATGCCCTTTTGTGGATTTACTTTCATCAGACATGCTCAAACCTATTTATTTGACTTTTTGTCTTTTTGATTCTCCGATATCAAGTTTTGTAATTTTTTCATTAAGGTAATGTGGGAGTCTTCATGGATTACAAAAAAAGAGAGACACAAGATACCAAAGTGACACTCAAAAAGTCGAAGTAAAACTGACAATACAATGACAAACACTGACCTCTACTTTTTACTAAAAAATTGAATATATCACAATATTAACTAAATTTTGCCAAATTGTGAACAAATTCTTGTTTAAACCCCCATACTTCATTAAGATTTGATTTAGTTTGTTTGTGGGCATATAATAAAACAATTCCAAAGTAACTTAGATATTTGTTAGTTGTCTAGAATTTGTGTTGCAATTTTATATCATTAGAGGTTGACATCAGGTTCAAATAATGTTGAATTATGCTGTTTTAATTTTATTTTCATTGTTTTATGTTTTTTGAAATTGAAATTGAAAAGGAAAAAATGATCTCACAATGGCAGATTGGTGAATTGTGTAACATAATGTATCGAATTGTGATTTAATCAATATAGTCCCGAAGGTTTGATTGGGTTAAGCTTTTTGTCTTTTGCAATGCCTCATAATTAATTGCCTCAGTACACTACTAGGACTAATTTGAAGTTAAGAATCATTTGAATATTAAACGGAAATCCTTATTTCATTTCAGAAAGCTCTTTTTACAATTCCACATTTAACATATCAATATTAGTAAATAGAACGACCAGTGCAGATGATATTTTATATGGACAAGTTCAAAAGGTGAGTACATATTGTATACTGTGGATTCAGTATATATGACAGTGTGCTACAAATTTGTTTGTGTGGATGCAGGAGAAAAGGTAAACCACAAATTTAAGTGTTAAAAAATATAAATTTTGCATCATGAGTATTGTATAGAGAATTTGTTAAAAGTATTAAATTCAAGGATCATCTAAAAATAATTTGTTTTCTTTCTTGCACCGGGATTCTGAAAGGGATTTAACTGCATTTTTGGGGTTTAAAAAGTCAAAATAACATAAAACTAGTAGACTTTTCTGTATGAATGGACAATCATCTAGTTTCCAATTCCTTAATTGACCCTGTAATGACAGATCGATTTTTGTGATTTACCAAGATGCAGAAAGAGCAAATTTTTATGTGCCTTATGTGTGTAATCTGTAGGTTTTAATTTTTTTAAATCACATTCAATCTTTTGTTAGGCTAACAATATCTGATATCAATAGTCATGTATAAATAGAAATTGGTTAAAACGCCTATTTCTAACTTTTATCTAGAGCAGGATTAGATAACCCTTCTGGAACACCCCCTTCATGTCATCCTATGTTTGTGTTTTATGTGGAGCAGGATTTGATAACCCTTCTGGAACACTTCCATCATGTCATCCTATGTTGTGTTTTATGTGAAGCAGGATCTGATAACCCTTCTGGAACACCCCCATCATGTCATCCTATGTTTGTGTTTTATGTGGAGCAGGATTTGATAACCCTTCTGGAACACTTCAATCATGTCATCCTATGTTGTGTTTTATGTGGAGCAGGATTTGATAACCCTTCTGGAACACCTCCATCATGTCATCCTATGTTGGTTTTATCTGGAGCAGGATCTGATAACCCTTGTGGAACACCCCAATCATGTCATCCTATGTTGTGTTTTATCTGGAGCAGGATCTGAAAACCCTTGTGGAACACCTCCATCATGTCACCCTATGTTGTGTTTTATGTGGAGCAGGATGTGATAACCCTTCTGGAACACCTCCATCATGTCATCCTATGTTGTGTTTTGTAGATGGTTGTTTGTATTTTTATTGGTTTTCGTGTTTGGGTTTTTCAGGTTGATTCCGACTTTGGAATCTTGCACCTCTTTTTTTTTTAACTTATATTGCTTTACATGAGCAGTAGCCAGGTTCATCTGGTTTAAAACCAGTATTCAATTGGCAAAGTGAAACAATTTGTGTTAAAGGTGTGTAATAAGAGAATAAAATCGGTAAATGGCAGACACCTTGTTGCTCCAAGCTCAGCCAGGTTAGGTGAGGGAAACCTGTGCACAATTATTTTTATTTGGACTCTAAAAGGAATTTTACTGCATTTTAGGGTTCAAGAGGAGTAACAACATATACATTAATTATTTACTTAAGCATGGGGTTTTTGTTACTTTTGTGTAAGCATTTTAACATATTGTTTTTTTATTTATAAAATACACAAAACATGCATGAACACTTTAATACAGATTCTAACTTAAGTGTCTGCTTGAATTTGAGGACAAACGAATTATTGACAATCTGATTAATATCCCATGTTTTAGAATAAATCCGACATTGTCAGAGGATTAAATGTTCCTTATTAGAATAAAACTTATAATACAGATATAATTTCTCATGCAACATTTTTCAATAAGACTCTTTAATAGCTCAATGCTTAAGAATAAAGTTCATATATACACTCAAACGCGTGAATGGCGATTTCGAATAGTACGGTTCTCTCAATAGACACCGGGCGGTATCTAAACACTAAATATTTTTCCAAAAACAAACTATCAAGAAAGTACTACCTTTAGATTTTGAATCAATGAATATGGGGATTATATTTTCAGTTAGAAGGCAGCTTAATGTTAGCAGGTTTCTTACATTTCCTGATAGGAGCCACAGGACTGGTAGGAGTATTGTTGAGATTTATAGGACCAGTAACCATTGTACCTACTATATTATTGATAGGACTGTACATGACAAGGACTGCTGTCAAATTTATATCATATCATTGGGGTATAGGACTAATGTAAGTAACTATTGTGTCTAAAAGAGAGGTCAAAGATACCAAAGGGACATTCACACTCGTAAGTCGAAAATAAACTGACAACATCATTGCTAAAAATGAAAAAGAACAAAAGACAAAACAACAGTACACAAAACACAACATAGAAAACTCAAATCTGATCAATACTATATTATTGATAGCCATGAAAATTTGAAGAAATTCGAACAACAACATTAACTGCCTAAATAAAATTATGAAAATTATTAAGGAAGGCGAAAATAGCCAACAGTAATCAGCCACACAAATGAATACAGGCTCCTGACTGAGGACAGGCACATATAGAATGAGGAGTTTTGACATAGGTAATTGCATGGCAACAACATAAAGTGCCAACCTCCAATTTAACAAGGACCATAACTCCTGAACAGTAAATGAGAAAGACCGTACTACTGTGTTAAAATGATATCATTTTAGAATACTTTATTTTCAGAATGATTCTTAAAGTGTCTAGACTAATTTTGTGCTTTTTATTGCTGCCCTAAAACAATCTATCAGCATGGCCCCATGGTAAGAAATAGAACCTAAGAGTAAAATGCAAATAACTGTCTATAAATTGTATAAGACAGAGAAAATTTGACAGGAGCAAAGATATTCAGAATATCAAGATCTACCTATCAATACTTACTTTTTTCCCCCAAATTATCAGTTGAACTCATAGTGTTAAAATAATTTCCTTAAAAGACAATTTTTTACATATTTTTTCCATTTGGCAATTTTTTTTAAAACAATAATAAATAGAGAGAATTGTGCATATTAAATATTACTTCCAAATTCAGTTCTTCAAATAAGTCAGACAATTAAAATGTCAAATATATAATTTTTACACATTTTTTGAATTTTATGGAAATCTCTTGAAAATTATGTTAGATAGAGAGAAACTGTAAACAGTGAAAATGTTCAGCAAGATAAGATCTACAACTAAGTCTGCCTAACCTTAATTGTCGATCGACCCATTATATGTATTACTATTATTATTAGACCTTAAATGGCGGTTTGTACCCACTTCTTGTCTTTTTGCAACATTTTTGAAACCTGTATTAGATAGAGTGAATTTTGTAATTTTCATTTTTTGCTAGTAAAGCTTATTTATTATGCATGCAATTTTATTTTCACTCTTATTAACAACTATTTCCTGCTTACTCCTTCATTTTGTTCGACAGAAAGTCATCTTCATCCTCTCTTTCAGCATTTTGTTCGACAGAAAGTCATCTTCATCCTCTCTTTCAGACAAATTTAATTTTCTTAGTTATAACCAGGCTATACATTTTCACTTCCTAAACCCCCCTGGTCTTTGTATTTATGGACGTTAACATTTAATCAGTAAATACTTAAGGTGTTCATGTTTCAGGACTGCAGCAATTTCTATTATTTTATCTTTGTACCTGGGAAAATATCTTCTGCCAATTCCAGTGTGGACAAGAAAACGTGGTTGTCATACTATAAGATATCCATTGCATCAAGTATTTTCTGTAAGTAATTTTGACATCAAACACTTTTCTATTTGTTTATATGAATATAAGAAGATAATGACTGCTCTTATACATCTATGATACAGCAACCTAGACCTGTCAGCACTGAAAATGATGATACGGGGAAACCACTGCTTTTTACCTGCGTTGCCAACGACGAAAGCAGGTCTAGTAACTGCTTGACTGTCCGTCATTCTTTCATTCTTTATGTCCATCTGTTCGAAAGACCTTGGGTAGAAATTTTCGTCAAAGTATTCTTAGCTTCTACAAAAGAGAATGATTTTTATAATGGGTTTGCGGCATGATCATACTGAGGTGTAGCGTGTTAGCAATTTGTAGATCTGCCGTGCAGCTACTTTCTGATTACCAATAGTTCAAACCTCATTGTAGACAGAAAATGTTCTACAAACTTTTCTAATTTTTTAATTGAGCCAATAATTTTATATTTGGTCTGGGGCTTGATAATGATGAGTTGTAACGCTAAATCAATTTTACATCTGCCGTGAAGCCACTTCCTGTTTGCCAATTGTTTGTAATTTACGACACAATTGTACAAGGGAAATGCTTCAGTACACATGTTACCTCATTCAATTAAAGAGCCGAAGCATGTCCAGACACTTATTGGTCTTGTTTAAACTTTGCATTATCAAGAATAACTTATGTTTTTTTACATACCATTTGTGAAATGTCACTCAGATTTTAAGTTAAAGGACTTGCATACCCTAAAATGTATTAGTTACCCTGTAGTCGATTAGTTATAGAACTTTGTACCACAATGGAACCTTGTGAACAAGCTCTTATTAGTCGATTAAACAATGGAACCATGTGAACGGAATCCTATTAGTCAATAAGACATAAAACTTTATACCACAATGGAACTTTGTGAATTCAAACCTATAAGTGGATTAAAAATGGAACCATATGAACGGAATCCTAATATTCGATTAGACATAAAACTTTGTACCACAATGGAACCTTGTGAACAAGCTCCTATTAGTTGATTAAAAAATGGAACCATGTGAACGGAATACTAATATTCGATTAGACATAAAACTTTGTTCCACAATGGAACCTTGTGAACAAGCTCCTATTAGTCGTTGAAACAATGGAACCATGTGAACGGAATCCTATTAGTCGATTAGACATAAAACTTTGTTCCACAATGGAACCTTGTGAACGTAAACCTATTAGTCGATTGAATAATGGAACCATGTGAACGGAATCCTAATAGTCGATTAGACATAAAACTTTGTACCACAATGGAACCTTGTGAATGCAAACCTATTAGTCGATTAAACAGTGGAACCATGTGAACACAATGCTATTACTCGATAGGTCATGAAGCTATGTCGAACAATGGAATCTTGTGAACTCAATACTATTAATCGATTAAACAATGGAACCATGTGAACGGAATCCTAATAGTCGATTAGACATAAAACTTTGTACCACAATGGAACCTTGTAAATGCAAACCTATTAGTCGATAAATAAAGGCAACAGTAGTATACCGCTGTTCGAAATTCATAAATCGATTGAGAAAAAAACAAATCCGGGTTACAAACTAAAACTGAGGGAAACACATCAAATATAAGATGAGAACTACGACACAACAGAAACACAACATTAAAATGTAACACACACAGAAACGAACTATAATATAACAATGGCCATTTTCCTGACTTGGTACAGGACATTTTAAGAAAAAAATGGTGGGTTGAACTAAACAGTGGAACCACGTGAACTCAATGCTATTACTCGATAGGTCATGAAGCTTTGTCGAACAATGGAATCTTGTGAACTCAATACTATTAGTCGATTAGACATAAAACTTTGTACCACAATGGAACCTTATGAACCCAATCCCATAAGTCTATTAGACATAAAACTTTGTACCACAATGGAACCTTGTGAACGCAATACTATTAATCGATTAAACAATGGAACCATGTGAACGGAATCCTAATAGTCGATTAGACATAAAACTTTGTACCACAATGGAACCTTGTAAATGCAAACCTATTAGTCGATAAATAAAGGCAACAGTAGTATACCGCTGTTCGAAATTCATAAATCGATTGAGAAAAAAACAAATCCGGGTTACAAACTAAAACTGAGGGAAACACATCAAATATAAGATGAGAACTACGACACAACAGAAACACAACATTAAAATGTAACACACACAGAAACGAACTATAATATAACAATGGCCATTTTCCTGACTTGGTACAGGACATTTTAAGAAAAAAATGGTGGGTTGAACTAAACAGTGGAACCACGTGAACTCAAAGCTATTACTCGATAGGTCATGAAGCTTTGTCGAACAATGGAATCTTGTGAACTCAATACTATTAGTCGATTAGACATAAAACTTTGTACCACAATGGAACCTTATGAACCCAATCCCATAAGTCTATTAGACATAAAACTTTGTACCACAATGGAACCTTGTGAACGCAATACTATTAGTACCACAATGAAACTTTATAAAAGCAACTCCTCTGACACAATTTGACATAAGGTTCTCATACTTAATTCGATTGTTTGCCGTGATATGTAGCTGACCTTATTATACCTTTATTTTTATTTGACCATGTTTGTGGGAGTTATGGGAGTTGACCATTTTTTTTAGTATAGTACCACAATTACACTTTGTGAAACACCATTTTATTCATCATTTACTCAGCAGTGGGGACATTTTCCTGCAGGGTAGCAATCTTGTTAGATATTGTCTAGTATTAAAGTGGTATATTTACAGTGATAAATGTTTTTGTGATTATTTATTTAGATATTAATAGCTATAATGGTGGGTTGGGGTAAAGTGGTATTAATTGTACAGTGATATGTTAATGTGATTATTTTTAGATATTAATAGCTATAATGGTGGGTTGGGGAGTGAGTGGTATTTGTACAGCTGCAGGAGTTTTATCCCACGAGAAAGCCAGGACTGATGTTGGAATAGATATTGTAAACAACGCCAGCTGGTTCTATGTACCACACCCAACTCAGTTTGGTCCACCTAGTTTTGATGTCAGCATTTTTGTTGGATTTTTTATTGCTACAATTATCTCTGTATTGGACTCTATAGGAGATTACTATGCCTGTGCTAAAACATGTCACGTGCCTCCACCACCGTCGCATGCAGTCAATAGAGGGATAGCAATTGAAGGGTTATGTACAACTCTTTCTGGTATAATGGGGGCAGGACATGCAACATCGACATATGGTGGAAATATTGGTGCTATTGGTATAACAAAGGTAACAATGAACACGATCATTTTAATATTAAACATACTTTATAATACAAAATGGAAAGGACAATGAAGTTTAAACTATCTCGTTCCTGACTACCAAAAGGAGGATTTTAGTATATCTTATTGGTCTATGTCAACTGACGGACGTTTTTCTTAATTTCAATGTTAAGGACAAATTAATCACTGGAAGCAATATCATACAATGCAATAAAACAATATATTAGGTTTGACTACTAATAAGTACACTTTGTGATTAAAACATAGATCACCTACTATGACTTAGAGTCATAAAGAATAGTATTGACACTAAAAGATCATAAGTATAAAGATAAGAAGATGTGGTATGATTGACAATGAGGCAACTCTCCACCAGACAAAATGAAATTTTGTCTTATTATACACATAATGTTGTAAATGTTTTTTTTCTTATTCTACATCGTGTTTATTGCTATGATTGTCAGTTTCATTCTATTTAGCCAAAAAAAATATGAATATACAAATAACAAAAGTGCTGTTTCAAATGGTTTGCAAATACTTCAGCATAAACCAATTATTTAGTTACTATTGACAAAGAAAATAAAAGTGTAAAAAAAGTTATACTATAATATTAATATCAGGTATAGAAGAGTGATTTCGTGTTATTGTAGGACGAGCAGTGAATTAAGCTCAAATATACTGCTTATACGTTTAATTGAACCCTGTTAATTTCTATGACAAAAAAACATGAAACTTGTATCTTAAAATATGACTGGCAATGAGACAACTATCCATAAAAACAAAGGTGTGAACAATTACACTGACTGAGATCAATATAAGAAGATAATGGCTGATAGTTTACAGCAATGAGAATATTATAAAATATGTCTGATGACCCCGTCTGTCAACCAAGATGGCCGACATGGTTAAAAATAGAACATAGGGGAAAAATGCAAGTTTTGTATATGATCTTGAAAATCGCTATGCATATAGAGTCTGACAGGAGCAAAAATGTTGAGAATGTTTAGATCTACCTGTTGTCTATTTACATCAAAACTGTCAGACTTCTTATAGGAGTTATAGCCCTTAAATGTCAATCTTTATCTTTTTTTTTCATTTTTGTCTTTTATTTTGAAAACTATAATAAATACAGAGAAAAGTAAATAAGCAAAAAAAATATCAGCAAGACAAGATCTACAAATAAGTTTACTGGCCAAAATTGTCATTTTACTCCTGATTTATTGTTCTTTAATGACGATTTGTATCCTTTATTTTGCGTTTTTGTCAAATATCTGTAAAACTATATTAGATAGCTTAAGTAGGCAAAAATTATCAGTAAGACAAGATCTACAAATAAGTGTACGGTTCAAATTGTCAGTTTACTCCTTATTGGAGTTATTGCTCTTTAATGACGTTTTTTTTACATATTTTGAAAGTTTACTGTCTCTTATCTTGAACTACCAGTATTATAAATGGACAGCCACTTTAAATAGCAAAAATAATCAACAAGACAAGATCTACAAATACGTCAAATTTAGCCAAAATTGTTGGTTGATGCTTTATAAGAGTGATAGCCCTTAAATGACAATTTTTAACCCTTTTTTGTGTTTTGGGCAAAAACTAAATAAGATTATAAGAGAGAAACTGAAAAATGATCAGCAATACAAGATCTACAAAAAAGAGTTTTTGTCATGAACTCTATTCTAGTCCACAATGTTGAAGGGTGTCCATTGTTGAAGATGTGCATAGACCTATGTGAGCAAAACATGCTATTTGGAGCCTCCAGTTATTGTTAGCTGTGATCATTAGTATTTTTTTATGCCCCCGCCGTAGCGGAGGGGGCATTAAGTTTTTCCCTTGTCCGTCTGTACGTACGTACGTTCGTTCGTCGTACGTCCCAAAATTGGTTTCCGTTCTCTAACTTTAGTTTGCCTCAACCAAATGTTATTAAACTTATACACAATGCTTATTACCACAAAACACAGATCAAGTTTGAATTTTGGTGGCGTCACTTTTACTGTTCTAGAGTAATGCCTCTTTACAAATGGAAAAATTGCTGAATTTTTCGTTTCCGTTCTCTAACTTTAGTTTACCTCAACCAAATGTTATGAAACTTATACACAATGCTTATTATCACAAAACACAGATCAAGTTTGAATTTTAGTGGCGTCACTTTTACCGTTCTAGAGTAATGCCCCTTTACAAATGGAAAAATTGCTGAATTTTTCGTTTCTGTTCTCTAATTTTATTTAGGTTGGCAGTCGACTAGTATTTGTATTGTTAGCTGTAATCTATATAGTAAGTTATTTTTTAGGTTGGCAGTCGACTAGTATTTTTATTGTTAGCTGTAATCTATATAGTAAATTATTTTTTAGGTTGGCAGTCGACTAGTATTTTTAGTGTTAGCTGTGATCTATATAGTAAGTTATTTTTTAGGTTGGCAGTCGACTAGTATTTTTAGTGTTAGCTGTGATCTATATAGTAAGTTATTTTTTAGGTTGGCAGTCGACTAGTATTTTTAGTGTTAGCTGTGATTTATATAGCCTTTGGATTGATAGGAAAGTTTTCAGCAGTTTTTATAACTATACCTCATCCAGTACTTGGTGGTGCACTCATTACCATGTTTGGTATGTTCATTGGAGTTGTCTTGTCTAACCTGCGATATGTGTGTCTGTCATCCACAAGAAACATAGCAATTATTGGTACCTCCATCCTCATTGGTCTTATGGTTCCTTATTGGGCTGAACTTCAAGGAAAGGATCTTGTTTTAACTGGTGAGAAAATTATATATCCTTATTATAAGTATAGTAATTCTTAAAATGAAAAATGATGAGAACGTAAGCAGAGCAGACAGCCAGAACAAAGTTTTGATAAAAAACAAATTTTGTATTTTTTAAACTGCGTGATTAATTTATTTACCGTGTCCTTTCTTTTCCATAACATCAGACAACCCCAAACACATACCATGGACAACAAAATGCAGATTATAACTAAACCCTCACACATGTCATGGACAACAACACACAAATTATAACTAAACATAAGGAATCAACTGAGATGTCACTCATGATACATCTACACACATATGACACCCATCATAATTATGATGTGTCTTTTGGTACATCTACACACATGTGGCACCTATCATGTGTCTCAGGATAAATCTTCACAAACATGGCACCCATCATGTGTCTCATGGTACATATACACACACATGACACATATCGTGTGCCTCATGATACATCTACATACTTGTGGTACCTATCACGTGTCTCGTGATCATCTACACACACCTGACACATATCACGTGTCTCATGATACATCTACACACTCATGGCACCTGTCAAGTCTCATGATACATCTACACACATATGACACCTATCACGTGTCTCGTGATACATCTACACACAAACTGCTCCCATCTTGTTTCTTGTGATACATTTACACAGGCGTGGCACCCGTCATGTATCGTATGATATATCTTCACAGACATGGCACCTAACATGCGTCTTATGACACATTTACACATACATGGAAATTATTATGTGCCTCAGTTGCCGAGTGGCCTTAGTAGTCGAACTTCTGTCTCACTTGCCAGGGCCGTAACTAGCCTGTTTTAAAAGCGAGGCAAAATATATTCGCCGAGAGAAGCAAGGCGAAAAAAATTCGGCGAGGGGTCTGGGGGCCGCTCAAGGCCCCCAGAAGCTCTTGAAAAAATGACGCAAAATTGTGCATTCTGAGCGTTTCTCGGACCCGTTTTCAATCTGAAACGCAAGTTTTGTTTTAATTATGTTTTCGATAATATTCTGGTCTCAAAGCAAAATATATAGATTCATTGTAAGACTCTTAGTTTTTAGGGCAACATCAAAATACCGAAAAGTAGGAGAAAGCAAAAATCGTATTTCACATAATTAAGTGTGGCTGCTGTTTATTTTTTTTTTTTAATTGAGTTTCGGCTTGCAGAAAACGTATTACACCTGTTATTTCTTATTTATTTAGCTATGTGAATTCAGATTTTAAAATGCATTTCAGTGACAACTTGATGTAGTTCCTAACTGGGATAAAAGGGTAGACTCAGGGTAGACTCAGGAAAACTGTTCTTAGACCTCATTGCTACATTTTATACCGGATGATTAATGTCGGATCTGTCTGTTCTGGTCTTGTATTGTGTTTAGACGTTGGTGTATTTTTTTGTGACTTTGAAATTTATTCACAGTACAATACTTTAAGTACAGCTTTGGTCGACGCTAAGCGGGGCCGTCTTGACCTTGTTGTAGGATATGAATGATTCTTTCATTGTTGAAGACCCTCAAGCGACTGTCAAGATGAAGAACAAGAATAAAAACCGTGTTCATTGATAATTTGTACTTTTTCTATGTAGTGTGTGCGATTTTGTCATGCACATTTACTCCATATCCCTTTATTTTCTATTTAAGGGCCTGAACACGGCTTAATGCAAGTTTAGCTCTCCAGTGTAAAAGGTCGTATGGCAATACATGATTTTTCTTTTTTAATGATTTGATTCCGGGAGGTTGGTTGTCTCACTTTAATTTAACCCATGTCAGCTTTTTAGTTTTATTTGCAGAAAAGAGAGCTAGTCTTGTATTCATTAATATGAAGTTTAATTTTCCATGAAAAAAACGACCAATTTTTCTTTGTCCAATAGCATCGAATCTTCTCAACCTATTTTTTCGAAAAATATCTGGACATCGGTGGACATGCAACATTGCCAAACCACACAACCTTTCACCCGTCATCGTTGATCTTTCCCAAGTCTTAAGTCTACTCAAAGCAGAGAATGAACGTTTACAACATACAGATGATACGAGAAGAAATCAACAACAGCTAAATATTGGGCAACTGAAGCGTTAGTCATAAGGCCGATTGATTGATTGGTGTTCGCTTAACGCCGCCTCAGAACAAAAAGCGAGAACTAATTTCAAATATTTTTACAATTTAAAGTAGGTTTTAAAATTAGACAAAAGGTCCTTAAATATAATAAAACTCAAGTTTAAACAAAATTACTAAATCAAATGAAATTCAACGCTAAGACAATAGTCATGCATAAAGAAGGGCAATAAACGAACAAAAGACAAACCCTGTAACAGATAAGACACATATCGACAAACAATAGACCATCAACATTGAAAACTAAAAATAAATGAGGAACATGGAGATCCCGAAAAACAAGAGACGACGTCAGAGGGTGAACAGAACTCGCCGTGAAAACAATTTGATATGAAGACAAGCTTTTGTTTCAACTAATCATATTTTTTTTCTCTCGAAATTTTCAACATGAGGCATTTGCCTCATTTGCCTCAATGTAGTTACGGCCCTGCTTGCGTGTCAACACTGAGATTGTGAGTTCGAATCCAGAACGTGACAGGTGCGCTCGACACCAATCTTAATTGACTAGGATTGTCAGTTTTCCTTCCGAAGGTCGGTGGTTCTCTCTGGGCACTCCGGCTTCCTCCATGAATAAAAAATGACCTCCGCGAAATACCACACTAGTGCTGAAAGTGGCGTTAGAAACCAATCAATTAATATTTTTTTCATGTGTCTCATGCATGATACATTTAAACACACATGGCGTCTATCGTGTGTCTCATTATACATCTACACACACATGGCGTCTATCTCGTGTCACATGATACATTTACACAGACATGGCGTGTATCTTGTGGCACACGATACATTTACACAGACATGGCACCTATCATGTGTCTCATGGTACATTTACACACACATGGCACCTATCTTGTGTCACATGATACATTTACACAGACATGGCGTGTATCTTGCGTCACATGATACATTTACACAGACATGGCACCTATCATGTGTCACATGATACATTTACACATACATGGCACCTATCATGTGTCACATGATACATTTACACATACATGGAACCTATCATGTGTCTCATGATACCTCAACACACTCATGGCACCTATCATGTGTCACATGATACATTTACACAGACATGGCGTGTATCTTGTTTCACATGATACATTTACACAGACATGGCACCTATCATGTGTCACATGATACATTTACACAGACATGGCGTGTATCTTGTTTCACATGATACATTTACACAGACATGGCACCTATCATGTGTCACATGATACATTTACACAGACATGGCGTGTATCTTGTTTCACATGATACATTTACACACAAATGGCACCTATCATGTGTTACATGACACATTTACACAGACATGACACCTATCATGTGTCTTATGATACGTCTACAAAGACATGGCGTGTATCTTGTGTCACATGATACATTTACACAGACATGGCGTGCATCTTGTGTCACATGATACATTTACACAGACATGACGTGTATTTTGTGTCACATGATACATTTACACAGACATGGCACCTTTCATGTGTCTCATGGTACATTTACACACACATGGCATCTATCATGTGTCACATGATACATTTACACAGACATGGCGTGTATCTTGTGTCACATGATATATTTATACAGACATGGCGTGTATCTTGTGTCACATGATACATTTACACAGACATGGCACCTTTGATGTGTCACATGATACATTGACACAGACATGGCACCTTTCTTGTGTCACATGATACATTTACACAGACATGGCATTTATCATGTGTCACATGATACATTTACACACACATTGAATCTATCATGTGTCACATGATACATTAACACGGACATGGCGTGTATCTTGTGTCACATGATACATTTACACAGACATGGCGTGCATCTTGTGTCACATGATACGTTTACACAGACATGGCACCTTTCATGTGTCACATGATACATTAACACAGACATGGCACCTTCTTGTGTCACATGATACATTTACACAGACATGGCATCTATCATGTGTCACATGATACATTTACACACACATAGCATCTATCTTGTGTCACATGATACATTTACACAGACATGGCGTGTATCTTGTGTCACATGATACATTTACATAGATTTGGCACCTTTCTTGTGTCACATGATACATTTACATAGACATGGTACCTATCATGTGTCACATGATACATTTACACAGACATGGCGTGTATTTTGTGTCACATGATACATTTACACAGACATGGCGTGTATTTTGTGTCACATGATACATTTACACAGACATGGCACCTATCATGTGTCACATGATACATTTACACAGACATGGCACCTATCATGTGTCACATGATACATTAACACAGACATGGCACCTATCTTGTGTCACACGATACATTAACACAGACATGGCACCTATCATGGGTCTCATGGTACATTTACACACAAATGGCACCTATCTTGTGTCACATGATACATTTACACAGACATGGCGTGTATCTTGCGTCACATGAAACATTTACACAGACATGGCACCTATCATGTGTCACATGATACATTTACACATACACGGCACTTATCATGTGTCTCATGATACGTCTACACACTCATGGCACCTATCATGTGTCACATGATACATTTACACAGACATGGCGTGTATTTGTTTCACATGATACATTTACACACACATGGCACCTATCATGTGTTACATGATACATTTACAGAGACATGGCACCTATCATGTGTCTTATGATACATTTACACACACATAACATATATCTTGTGTCACATGATACATTTACACAGACATGGCGTGTATCTTGTGTCACATGATACATTTACATAAACTTGGCACCTTTCTTGTGTCACATGATACATTAACATAGACATGGTACCTATCATGTGTCTCATGATACGTCTACACACCCATGGCACCTACCATATGTCACATGATACACTTATACAAACATAGCGTGCATCTTGTGTCACATGATACATTTACACAGACATAGCGTGTATCTTGTGTCACATGATACATTTACACAGACATGGCACCTTTCATGTGTCTCATGGTACATTTACACAGACATGGTATCTATCATGTATCACAGGATACATTTACACAGACATGGCGTGTATCTTGTGTCACATGATACATTTACACAGACATGGCGTGTATCTTGTGTCACATGATACATTTACACAGACATAGCACCTTTCATTTGTCACATGATACATTTACACAGACATGGCACCTTTCTTGTGTCACATGATACATTAACACACACATAGCATCTATCATGTGTCACATGATACATTAACACGGACATGGCGTGTATCTTTTGTCACATGATACATTTACACAGACATGGCATCTTTCATGTGTCACATGATACATCTACACATACATGGCACCTTTCTTGTGTCACTTGATACATTTACACAGACATGGCACCTATCATGTGTCACATGATTCATTTACACACACATGGCATCTATCATGTGTCACATGATACATTTACACAGACATGGCGTGTATCTTGTTTCACATGATACATTTACACAGACATGGCACCTTTCATGTGTCACATGATACATTTACACAGACATGGCACCTTTCTTGTGTCACATGAAACATTTACACACACATGGCATATATCATGTGTCTCATGATACGTCTACACACTCATGGCACCTTTCATGTGTCTCATTGTACATCTACATAGACATGGCACCTATCTTGTGTCTCGTGATACTAAATAAACACACCTGGCACCTATCATGTATCTCATGATACATATACACTCATGGCACCTATCACGCGTCTCATGGTATATCTACACACACATGACACCTATTGTGTGTCTCATGATACACATGCACACTTGTGAATAACTCTAGGGAAAAAACTTAATTTTAAAATAACATTCATGTCTCCAGCACAGTAAAATATATACATAATAATATTGACTCATTGGCATGATTTGACAGCTTGTTGAACAGGGAAAAAGCATTACTATGAATATAAGGAAGACTACATGACAGTAATATTGAAATAAGATATGAGAAGATAGCTTTTTTTTTAAATGTGTTAATGGAAAATAAAAAAATAATAAAAGTTAACAGGGTTACTGTACTTTTGACATAATGCAAAGTAGAAAAGTTAACAACTTTGTCGTATTAAATTATCAGTGATACCTCCTTTTATAAGGCCCAATATGTTTAAAACATTTTGAATCAATATTGATATATTATGCTGTAAATAAAGCATTTGAAATAATAAGATAAAAAGATGTTTGTCATTTAAGGGAAAAGTCATACAAAATATATAGCATTTCTGCCTCAAATTCGTCTACACTAATTGCTTTTTGCTATTTAACGATCCTAGATGATGAAACCACTATACTACCATACACACAAAAATTTGATTTAAGGAATTTGGAAATGATGGCAGATTTTTGATAGTCTTGTTTAGTTTAAACATATTTTATTTGCTAAATATCAGCAAAATGGATGAGACACAAGTAAATCATACTTATGAAGTCTTCTCCATATTACAATACAATAAGTATATATACAATAATAACATTATGAGCATGCATGTTAAGCTAACAAATTCATTAAATATTATACGAACTATAAATAAAAAGAAAAAAGAACAAGAAGAATGGAAAAGGAGGAAAAGAAAAAGAAGCAAATTATATTTTCTGTGATGTTGACTTAGGTTTGATGGTGATGATCATCCGTGCCGGTAGCAATAATATTTTATGAAGGTACTAGAAATCTGTAAGACCTTTTAATAAAATCTTGAACATGTTTGAAAATTAGGAGATTTTGTTCATTCGAAAGTTCAAGATCTCCGCAAGTTAATAGTTTAGTATCAATAATAAAGTTTTCAGTAAGCCAATTAAGATTGTTAAGTAAAATTTCTCTACATGTAGTGTATTTTGGGCAAACTAAAAGAAAATGATGAACATCCTCAATATCAGACCCACACTGACACGAAGGATCCAGTATAATGTTAGCTTTGAAAAGGTCAGAGTTCAAAAATGAAGCGGAACATCGCAATTGAGTTAAAATAATATTCAGTTTCCTCGGACCGTACATATAATACGGCGCAACTCTACTCTGAACACTTTCATTTTTCAATTCTCTCTTAAATTTAGATATAGAGTCGGTGTTTCGAATTTTTAAGTCAAGCTTATTCCATTCTCGTATTGTGGATGGAATAAAAGATTCAGTGGTAAGGGAAAGTCTACAAAATGGAACAATGATATTTTTACCGTTTCGCAACGGATAGTTGGTTGTACTTTGTATACATGGGGGGACAAGATTACACAGGTACTCAGGTGCATGCTTTTTATTTATATTATAAAACATCTATAATTTTCTACTTTTTCTTCTTTCATATAAAGATTCCCAGCCAACCTCAGAGTACAGAGTATCAGTTTTAGTGAAGATTGGTAGACCTGTTACAATTCTTGCGGCTTCCAATTGCAAATTTTCTAATTTATTTGAATAACATATCCCACAATTATCCCACACTTCCGTGGCATATTCAAAAATGGGTCTAATAAAAACTAGATAAAGTTTTTCTAAATTATTACGAGACAGTCGATATTTAAGTTTACGCAGAACATTAAGGTGTTTCTTTACACTTGTAATTATACTTTCAATATGATTGTTCCATTTTGCGTCACAACTAAAGGTAACTCCCAGGTGCTTATGCGATGTATTTAAAGGGATAGTTTTATCATTTAGGGAAAAGTTGAGATCTGGTATCTCAATATTTGAAAATATCATAATTTCTGTTTTATCAGGATTAAATGACATAAGCCATTTAGTTGACCAAACATCCAGCTCTTTCAGGTCGCGGTCGATCACAGATTTAATCTGTTCACCATCGCTACCGGAATAACTGAATGAAGTGTCGTCTGCAAATAGCCTACACAGCGATGTAAGCTTATCAGCAATATCATTAATATATAAAACAAAGAGAAGAGGGCCCAAAACAGATCCCTGGGGTACACCTGCTGACACATTACAAAAGGAGGAGGACGAATTATTCAATACTACTCTTTGTTTCCTGTCATGCAGATAATCTTCAAACCACTGTAATAAGGTTCCATCAATACCATAGGCTTTTAGTTTGTGAATAAGACCTCTATGCCAAACTTTGTCAAACGCTTTAGAGAAATCACAGAATACAAAACAGTTTATTTCTTTTTTTTCCAAAGAGTTTAAGATGCAGTTGTATATTTCTAAAAGTTGATGGACGGTTGAATTTTGGGGAAGAAATCCGGATTGATATTCATAAATTAATTTGTTAGCGTGTAGATGATTATACAAGCGCTTAAAAACAACTCTTTCCATTACTTTTCCAACACAACTAATAAGAGAAATTGGTCTGTAATTTGAAGGCAAGGATGATCCCCCTTTTTGAAAATAGGTATTAAATTAGCTATCTTCCAACTGGTTGGAAATTTGCCTTCTCTTAAAGATTTATTGAATATAATGTTTAGCGGAACTGCAACCTTTTCCGGACATAACTTAAGCATTTTATGGCTGATCACATCTGGGCCTGATGCCTTGTTAGTCTTGTTAAAAACTTTTGTCAGCCGAGTGCAATTAAGAGCTTAAACATGTGCTGTATTTTATCATTTTTTAAACTTGTATTTTTATGTTTTAGGAAATTTCCGTGTAGATAACATTTTAAAGACACTTTTGGGTAATGCAAATCTCTCCGGTGCTTTACTAGCCTGTTTTCTTGACAACACCATTCCAGGTATGTAGTTTTGGTGATAATTAAATGCATCTACATTTAATTATTATTTTATGGAATAAGCATATTTTGAACTCCAAACATAAATCACTTATAGTACCCAATAGTAAAGTGTAAAGATAAGGAGATGTGGTATGATTGCCAATGAGACAACGATCTATAAATAAGGATAAAGACCTGTCTTACTTAGAGCATTAAGTTACTGTTTATCAGGTTTATAAATACCCACAAACTAAGTTTTGTTCTTTGATTTGTAGGCACTCTAGATGAACGAGGTATCACCTCATGGCAGAACATTCCATCAAAAACACCAGAGTCAGAACATCTAGTGACAGAAGACTTTAAGGAAGGTGTAGAGGTATATGAACCACTGTTTCCACAGAAATGGAGAAACAGTAAGATTTTAAAGTACATTCCCTTCTTACCAGATCCTAAGAAGAAGCCGGAACTGGAAACTGTTTCAAGCATTAATTACGAGGAAAACACCAGAGTATAATGTACTGTTTATCGAAATATTTGTAGTCTCTTCAAATAATGATAGTGTTGTAAATGTGTAAGATGTGTGTATGTATGAGTGCATTTCAATGATTGTGCTAGGACTATTTAATATTTGTTTGTGTCATTTAAACTCAGTATTTAAAAAACTTCATATAAATACATTGCAAATTACAATATGCTTTATGAAATTGAGTTGGAGTAGTCATGGGCAGTTCCATGGTTTGAGGAAAGGGGTGTAATTTAAAAAAAATGGTCATAATGAATATTGAAGAGGGAATGGGAAATTGTTTGGTCGATTTAATGCCAAAAAAGACTATTTTTTGTTCATTTATTTTAGTAATTTTAGTATCTTTTAATGTTATGCCTGCAACACTTATCCTGTACAAAGTTTTGAGGCGTCTTAAGTCATGGAAGTTATGTGTCCAGATCCAGTCGTACAGGAGCAAGACACATGAATTCATAGTAGCAACAGGCGTAGAAAATAGTGTTAAACTTTGCATAAATTAAAATAAGCCATGCGTAAGTTTTGTGTTCATTGAAACAATTTGAAATTGGACTAACACAATTCTATTGATGATCAATAAATTTAAACATTGGAATGAAGGAATGATAAGACGGAAATACTTTTGTAATAACTTAATTATTCTGTACTATTGTTTTTTCTTACCAGTTTGATTCTAGAAATCCTCATCATTTTCACTTACTGTAATAATAAGTCCAATCTTTTATTTAAGATAAATAAGAGTGTTTAAGTTAGTGATTATTGTCGCGCCTGCGGCTTCTGTTGAATTAAAAATTTATGTTTATGACTATCAACATAAAAGCAATGGTCAGTAAAGCATGCGAGACATTTCAGCATGTGCACTCTTGTTTCAATTCAAATGACAATAAATAACAAATGACAATGAATGAATTGTTATTATGATTCAAATTATTTACCAATTTTCATACAAACTTATATTTTAGCCCCTTTGTCTGGCTAAACTATATCTTTTGTAGTTTTTTTTAATTGCATATATTTCAAGTTTTATGTCGGAGAATGAAACTGTAGCCTAGGCAACATTCCTATATCAAATACATATGCCTTAATTATGTAAAAAGCTTCATGCACTGATTTACACTAACAATTAGGTGTGGTATTATGTAAGGATATTACGCCTGCATTTTTTTGACCAGCCATACTCATTTGTATATTACACCTGGTTTTTATGTTGACCAGGCGTACTCATTTATTTTTCAAATACTGAGTATTTTATACCTCAGGAATAGATTACCGTAGCTGTATAAATTTTATGATTTTTGGGTCCTCCAATGCTCTCCAACTTCGTTCTTTATTTGGCCTTTTTAATTCTTTTGAATCAAGTGTCACTGATGAGTCTTTTGTAAACGAAACGGGCGTCTGGCGTACAAAATTTCAATTTTGATATCTATGATGAGTTCATTTAAATATTACGCCTGGTTTTCGCATCAGTTAAGCTTGGTTTACATCTAGTTGAAGCTTGGTTGACACTTATATGACTTGGACATGCATTCTCTAGATATTGCAACAACGCCAGGTTTAGTTATGAATTTTACGCCTTGTTTCCGTGTGATTTACAGGCGTCTCGTTTCGTTCAGGATATAACATTACTCAAAAACTGTTGGACCACGGAAGTATTATATTGACAATAATACTTCGATGGTTGGACATAATTAGAAGCAAATATCATAGAAAACAGTTTGTTATTGTACAGATCCAAATACATTAATAAGTGTAATATGTATAGTTATGATATATTAGATATTTATGAACATTGACAAAAAATACTGATTATACATTCATCTTTTACATACATTTTATACATTATTTATGCAGTAACCTAGAGACATGTGCCCAAAGGTTGTTTAGTGGTATAGAAATACAATGAACTTCTCCCATCCTACAGTATAACACATGCTAAAATAATGGGTCATTCCAGCTGATGTTTGAAGTTCATGTCCTTCATCCCAGTCCACTCATCTTACATAAATTATCTATTAGATTCATTTTTAATCTGATCTAGTCCTGAATGTAGATTCAATATTTGTCACTGGACATCAAGCAAACAACTACACATGTTTTTATGGCAACTATTGGATTGTTTCTGTTAAATTTATTCCCAACTTTTTTTGACTGGAGACTATAAACATATTGTATAGACATCTGTCTATCGTTGAAGACTGCATGTATGTTGAATAATTTTGTTGTTGTTGCTGTCCCATTGACGTAAAGCACACCTATTCTTTTATTCATAACAACCTATTAATTAATCTACAACATTGGTCAAAAATCCTTACAAATTAAACCATTTTCAATGTTACATGCAAATTAGACCTTTTTCAATGATACTAACAAATTAGACCTTTTTCAGTGTTACTAACAAATTAGACCTTTTTCAATGTTACTTACAGATTAGACCTTTCTCAATGTTACTTACAAATTAGACCTTTTTCAATGTATGATTCTGATGTCTCTCTCTAATATATTTCAATTAAATGATAATTGTTTTACTCTTTCCTCACATTCTTGTCTTTAATATTTCAGTGGAGATTCTTTTATGATATATTTATATATGTTATGATGAAAATTTATTCAGATGTTTTAAATATTTATACCATTGATTTTAACATATCTGATATCAAAATTATTTCCAAATATATTGTTTTTGCCAAAATTAGGTTTTATGTTTTAAAGATCTGAATTTAAAACTATGAGCACCAAATTCTCTTAATAACAAAAATAATAATATTCCTCTATTTATATCTTAAATTTCTGTTTAAGAAATGTAACAAATCTGTGTATTTTTTGTCAATTTGTAATAGTGTATGACCTGAAATAACCAGTTTAAAGCAATGTCTGTACCATCTATACTATTAAATGAGAAGACCTCATTTTGTGTGTCGCTTCTCTTCCTTCCTTAATAAATTAATCTTCATGCCTTTGTGTCCTATAGGTACCATGCATAGTCACATTTGTCATCCTTGCTTATGATTATTCCCTTTGGGTTATTTTAGGAGGAAAATGAAAATTAAGGCGTCCGGATATTGTTTCCGTCATCGGACGGACTTTTAAGTCATAGACAAGACTTCCGTTTAGAACTGTTAATTACACATTATTTTCATAGGTACTTGGGGACAGAACAATTAGTATCGCCTTTTCTGTATACTATGAACATACATATACTATAAATAAAGTGTATTTGCTATTTACTATCAATTCCAAGTTTACTATCAACGGCGGTCATATATAATAGAGATTATAGTATATGTATGTTCATAGTATACAGAAAAACGCGAAAATAATTGAAATTAATAGAAAACAAAATGACAGCGGATTTTTAAAAAAAATGGGGAGGACTAAAAAAAAATTTTCTGTCCCTAAGTACCTATGACTTTTGATACCTTTCCCTGAAATTCTCCAGTCATAAACTCTTTTACAAAAACTTATCCTACAACAGTTTCCGTACTTTCAACGACGCCCTAAATGACCGCGATTTCGCGGGTGTGTTCTAGTCTATAGTCATATTGAAAGTGCAAAGCTCATTATATCTTATCAAAACAAATGGACCATGTGTGGTGATGAAAGTCATTTAAATTATCTAAATGATCTCCCTTCTTAAAACTGTGCTGGGTTAGTCTTTTTAACGTGAAGTTTTAACCAGATTCATTGCTAAATATTTATAGAAATTTTAAATCATGCTTAATGTTAGTACTCCATATTTGAAGGATTATAAATCATAATAAACAGTTGTATGTCAATCATGTTAGTATTCTATATTTGTAGGATTATAAATCATAATCAACAGTTATATGTCAATCATGTTAGTATTCTATATTTGAAAGATTATAAATCATAATCAACAGTTATATGTCAATCATGTTAGTTTTTACAAATTTAAAAATATAATGTGGTTTAGATCTGAAATTTAATGTGCATTTTAAAATTCGTCATTGACACAATAATTAACGAAAAATGATATATTGAGAGTAAACATGAATCCATAAAATCGTAATATGTTGACATAGTCAAAACTATATCCTGTAGCATAATTATTTTAATTTTTCGGCGAGAGTGGGGGGGGGGGGGGGAGTATATGTTTCCACACACCAGTAATATGTGTGGTTTTTCAGTGTAATCCTTTTCATGTATTTTTTTAAAGTTGTAAACATAGAAATTGATCTGTATATTTAGACTCCATACTTTAGAGTGATTAGTAGGTGAATGCTGACAGACTTGTTACATGTATTAGTCAATACTGCCTACTCTTATCGCTGTTACCTTAAACAATGCAAAAAATAAAAATTGTGAATGACATTTGTATGATAACAGATCTGATTTGAGATCTAAGGAGGGAGGAATTTTGACTTCAATGTACATAACAAAGATATTTTTTCATCTTGTACAGTGAACTATATTAACTCATTGATTGTATTATTTCTCCAATAATGTAGACATTTAGATTATGTGTATATGGTTGGTTTTGGAAATATTTATTACTCTATAGAATTTTTTACTTTTCTCTGATTCTTAAAGAAATAAAAAGTTATATATGTTTATCTATGATAGGTACTACTAGTATGCAAGACGGTTTTTGATATTTAATGAATAAAATAGTAAGTAAAGACCGAGATAGCTATTGGTTTGGCATCTGTTCTAACCAATCATGTATTTGTATAGCAATATAGTTTTGTATAGTTTTGTATGTTTTAGTACAAATTTTTAATCATCTCCTTTTATTCCTAAGTAAAAAGTAAAAGGAGATTTAAACCTATAAAGTATTCTTATTTCTTTTTTCTAAAATAAGAAGTCGTACAAGGCTAGTTACTGTATTAGAATTTGTCCTGTTACAATAAAGAATGTTTGTCAATGATCACAAAAGGGAGAGGTATAATCAGGCCACTTTTTTGGTCCTTTGAATTTGAAAATAAAAGAATATTATAAATCTGCCTAATAACATACTTTAGAAGTTAATTATCATAAGACATTAGACTGCCAATCATAAGTATTTAATTTTTTGAATTTTGTATACAAATTTGCAATAAGGCTTTAAAATTCTAGCATTTTGTGTAAAACTGCAAAATCTGACAAAATAATCTCATTTTCAGAAGATGTCGTTAATATTTAAATATGAACCAAAACTTAACCGAAAATAAATTTTGCTACTAGAGGTATTTTATAAAGATACAATTGTACGTAAATATCTTTTTGGGAAAGGCCCTGGCTCATATCTATTCTGATCAAATTGTAAAATGGCAATTTTAGGTCAATAATGTCATTTTCAACATTTCTATGACATCATAGCGACATCACAAATGACCTTACTGCACTAAAGTTTATAGATTATATTAGCCTGCATGTTCATTCATCAATTAAATTAACATAATATTGTGAGGCATATATAAATTAACCCTTTTTTGCAATTTCAGTGGCCAGCTATAAAAAGTTCTTGTTATATCCCCTCCTTAAGTGATCATATAATGGTATGTTTATTTTATTCTTTTTTTTTATCATTGTGGTAACTCCCCCTTTTTCATGTTATCATGTGATAACTCCCCCTTTTTGTCTCACCTGCGACTTTTGTCGCAGAAGGCGGTACATAGGTATTGCTTTACCAGGGACGACGTAGTTGGTGTCAACAATTAAGTTAGTTTGATAAGGATTACTCGTGATAGATCAACGATATTTTGTATGAAGTTGCATTACTATCAGTATATATCAGTTTAACGACTTTTTTGAGGCCCTGCCCCTAGGATATGGTCCAGCGACTTTCAACTAATAGGCAATTTTCAATGTTAAGTTTTCTGCTTAAGTTAGTTTGATAGGAACTACTTGTTATAGATCAATGATATTTTCTGTAAAGGTACATTACTGTCCGTTCATCTCAGTTTGTTGACCATTTCGAGGACCTGCGTACTAGTTCATGGTCCAGCGACTTTGAATTAATTAGCAATGTTGCTGTCCATCTGATTTTATTTTTTTGAATTTAATGCCGACAGGCAAGACATATCTCTGTGTCACCAGTTTATTCTTGTTATCATGTGATAACTCCTCCTTTTTAATGTTATCATGTGATAACTCCTCCTTTTTATTGTTATCATGTGATAACTCCTCCTTTTTATTTTTATCATATGCTAATTTCTCTTTTTTTCATTATGTGATAAAACATAAAACATCCTTTTTAGCTCACTCTCACCTAGTGAAAAGGGCCTTGTGAGCAATGGCCATCTCTTGGCGTCTGTCTCCGTAGACCTTCATCATTAACTATTGCAAGCACTTCTCTTAAACCACTGGACCAATTTCAACCAAACTGTAGCTAAATGAATCTTGCAAGGTCAACATATTCATCAGAAAATGTTCATCTAACCTTGACCACATGTACATAGATCATTGATAATGTAAAATTTATTTGATACTTGTGGTTAATTCTTCATTTTGCAGACTTTCAACATAAGTTTAATCATGATAAATAAAACAGGCGACACATTTCAGCGTGTGCACTCTTGTTCGGTTTTTGCTTCTAAATTCAATATTTGACAGGTGAGGGATTCAAGCTCTTAGAGGCCTCTTGTTATTGTTATCACATGATACTCCTCTATTGTGTTGTTATCATGTGATTATTCTTGTGAATGTCTGGATTGTACCAAGGTACTTAATGTATACAGTGATTTGATATTGAGTAATAATCTTTCAACCACAATTCATTGAGATATCTTCCTGTTCTTCTCATTAAATATACCAACAGATTTCAAACAGGAAATTTGCCAAGACATTTTTTCATTGATTTTTGAAGCAATGAATATATTTCAACAAGCTTTCTTCTAAATATTTTACAAATTGTAGTTTCTCTTATTAAATGTTTTCTTTACTGTAACTTTAATGAACGAAAATATTTTAGATAGCAATTTATCTACTTTCAAGGATTCAGAGCTGCAATACCTTTCAAAATTTTGATTTTTTTATGCAAAATTTGCTTCAAACTAAAAATAAAAAATTGGCTATTTTTTTTTCTCTCAGAATCATTATCTGGCATTGTTTATAGCATACTTAAGTTTCTGACAAATAACTACATATGTTTATTGCAACACTGCCTGTATCATTTCCCTAAATGTCGACTTATTCAAAATTCTCTGTTGAAAAAAGATTTCAAAATTACGTTTCTTACTGTGGTATTACATTTGACTGTGAAAATAAAAAAAATATATTAATTTTTTAAGATGTCTTATTTTTTACTAAAAATATTATAATAAAATGTTGTTACGAAGTGAAATTGAAGAAATCATCACAGGATGTGTAATACAGTGTCAAATTGTTTTTACATACTTTGCTGCATCTTTATGCACCTGTCCTAAAAGAGGGGCGAAAGATACCAGAGGGACAGTCAACCTCATAGATCGAAAATAAACTGACAACGCCATGGCTAAAAAAGAAAAAGACAAACAGACAAATAATAGAGCACACGACACAACATAGAAAACTAAAGACTAAGTCAGGGGCCTGTTGTTCAGTGGTTGTCGTTTGTTAGTGTGGTTCATAAGTGTTTCTCGTTACTCGTTTTTTATATAGATTAGACCGTTGGTTTTCCTGTTAGAATTGTTTAACATTAGTCTTTTGGGGGCCCTTTATAGCTTATTGTTTGGTGTGAGCCAAGGCTCCGTGTTGAAGGCCGTACTTTGACCTATAATTATTTACTTTTTACACATAGTGACTTGGATGGATAGTTGTCTCATTGGCACTCATACCACATCTAATTATTTATATTTGCAATACCATTCAAGTAAATTTGAAAAACAAAATGAACAAGTCTTACAACTCACTTTGTAACAAAGTTTAAAACAATCTATAATTCATACAGTACAACTGAGATTACCTACAGAATCCACTTAAAACTCATAAATTTCGACATAAATGCGGCGCTTTGAACATCAAAATTCTTCAAGTTATACTTGTAAAATCATCTTCTTCTTCGTCGAAAAGAAAATGTATGACGTTAACGATTTTAAAGCCAAGGTAGGGTAAATTTCCCTTGAATGTATTTCACTATAGGGTCTTTTTCTAGATTCTCTTCTATATTTACTGCACTGGACGTTAAGCAACCAACAATCAATCAATCAATATATATACTAAATGTCGATGTACTATAGGTTCATTTGAATGATGTAATCTACGTACCCCGCCGTGTTCAGTTCTTTTACAAGACATTTTGGATTTTCTGAACAACACAGTCTCATTTCGAAATGTGAAGCCACAGGCTGCAAAAACTGTGGAATTTTAATAACAGATGCTCAAATCACTAGCAATTTAACTAAAAAATCTTATTTTACCAGAAGCTACGATGATCTGAACTGTAAATCAACAAATGTCGTCTACGGATTAGAGTGTAACCTTTGCGGATTGGTATACGTCGGTGACACAAAAGGAAGGTTAAATAAACGTATGTGCGGCCATAGATCAGACATCAACAACAGTGCTAGCGACATTGTTTATCAGCATTTAACCAGCCTGATCATTCAATCGTTTTTATGCTAGTTCGCATCATCGAAAAAATATACCACAGGACTAACAATCCTCATCTTGCAACACCTCTCCGTAGACAGAGAGAAGACTACTGGATTCGACTATTGGGAACTGCGACACCATATGGTTGCAATGACAAAATTGATGGTATTGGTATTCTATCTAGTCTTTCCTGTAGCTCGGTAAATGTGATGAATATTTTCAACTCTACTCCTCGACGTAGACGCAGTCATCGTCATTATACACCACCTACTCACCATGATGTCTCTATTAATGACCTGCTGCCATTTATAAAAAAGCCATTATGTATTCATCACATTCGCACGAAGCTTTATTCATTACCCCTTTCAAAACTTCATTCTCTGTACAACTTATGTTTGGAAACCACTGCTTAAAAAGAGAAAAGACCCTTTCTTAAACTTTCCTTTGCCAACAAAGGTCTCGATGCCATCAACTTGGGCAATATCCTTCATCGTAAATTAGTTCACTCGAAAATACTTCCTTATTTTAAAGATCAGTCTGTACCTATCATTTCTTATACCTATACCAAACCAATTGCAACTAAAATTTTCAATAACAAACACGTGTTGCAGGATCTCAATATTGACGACTTCAAGTCTAAATCTCCTGATTGCACCTGTGCTAGCTCCCCATTCATATATAATCCGGCTGGCCACGTTATTACTGGTGACCTAAACATTGTCAATAACACTTCTCTGCGAAACGTGTTATCCAAAGGCCCGAAATATCGTGAGCCTAAATCCATCAATTGGAAACACAACTTCAAAATACCGATGGATTCAGTCGAGGATTATGCCAGGCAATGGGCTTAACGCGAGAAAGAAGACGTATATACTCTTTCCGAATGGATTAAGGCTGTGAGGTCGTTAATACAAATCAGAATTAAGAAACTGAATGGGTCTATTAATACCCATGCTACATAAATCTTTAAAGACCCAAATGTTGCGAAACATTTGTCCTACCTCCATGACAAATATGTTGTTGTCCCCGCAGATAAAGCCCCAAACAACATCGTTTTTGTGTGTAAATCACATTACATAAACTGCTTGATAAATGAATTAGGTATTGACAATTCACTTTGAAACTCAACATATATCCCCACGACACTTACTAAAGATCCTGGATAAGCATAGGTCTGTTCTATATTCCTTTAGAATTTCAACCAAAGATGAAGAACTGGATCTTCCATCAATGTGTATTGGATACCTAAACTACATACGTGTCCTTACAAACAATGGTATACTGCTGGGTCTTCTAAGTGTTCCACGAAACCTCTTTCTAAATTATAAACATCAATTTTATCAGCAATCAAAGCCGGGCTTCAAAGTTATTGTGAAACTACCTATTCTAGAGGTGGCGTGAATCAGATCTTTTAGAGTAGTACTACATACAATCTAAAACTCTTTCATCTTGCAATAATATTAAATCATTTGACTTTTCTACACTTTACAAAAGTATTCCCCATTCCAAACTAAAAGACAAATTGAAAGAGTTGGTCCTGCTTTGTTTCTTTGTTTCATAAAAAAGAATGACCAACGTAGATATAAGTATCTTGTCTTAGGGAGGGATAAATCCTACTTTGTAAAAAATCACTCTGATTCTTACAAACAATTCTCTGAAACTGACATTATCAAGATGCTTCATTTCTTGATTGAAAACATATTTGTTACGTTTGGAGGACGTGTATTTCAACAAACAATCAGCATTCCCAACTGTGCCCTTCTTCTTGTCGACTTGTTCTTTTATTCATATGAGGTTGACTTCATACAGGAAGAAAGAAAAGAAGTTAGCAGTATCCTTTACTTCCGCTCATAGATGATGTTCTCTCACTAAATAATTCAAAATTTGGTGACTATGTTGAACGCATCTATCCCATCGAACTTGAGATAAAGGATACAACAGATACAGTTAAATCTGCCTCATATCTTGACTTACATCTAGAAATTGACAATGAGGGTCGGTTGAAAACAAAACTTTATGACAAAAGAGATGATTTCATCTTCCCAATTGTGAACTTTCCATTTTTATGTAGCAGCATTCCAGCAGCGCCTGCATACGGAGTATATATCTCCCAGTTGATACGATACTCCAGGGCTTGTATTTCCTATCATGATTTCCTGCTCACAAGGAAGCTATTAAACCAAGAGTTCCGTGTGGTGAAGTTGAAATCATACCTATAATGGTTTACTTTTATAAATTTTGACTTGGATGGAGAGTTGTCTCATTGGCACTCATACCACATCTTCTTATATCTACTTCGTAAATTTTATGGACGCCATCACGAGTTGTTTGACCGTTAAAGAATATCCGTTTCACAGATGATAGCGGATATGTTCTTAGGTCGTAACTACAATCTCGTCCCCTTTTCCCGAAAGTGACCTACCAAATTAGACTTATTACTGGGTTTGTACTAACATGAGCAACACGACGGGTGCCATATGTGGAGCAGGATATGCTCACCCTTCCGGAGCACATGAGATTACCCCCAGTTTTTGGTGGGGTTCGTGTTGCTCAGTCTTTAGGTTTCTATGTTGTGTTTTGTGTACTATTGTTTGTCTATTTGTCTTTTTCTTTTTTAGCCATGGCGTTGTCAGTTTATTTTCGACTTATAGTTTGAATGTCCCTTTGGTATCTTTCGCATCTCTTTTAAGATACTTCAAAACAACACATTTACTAGAATTAGTACAAATTTGTGTAATTCTATATTTGTTGTCTTTCAGATACAAACTAATTCATTTTGGTCAACGATATCCTTTCGATACAACGATTTGACATACACATGAATAATTAGCAATATTGTTTTTTAACAGCCATATGTAGCACTGACGATCAATTTTGTTTTAGGGACAGACAGATTAATAAATATAGATAAGATGTCTTCACGGAGACTGTTACCTTGTGAACCATCACTTGACTAGCGTAGCTTACCAGTCTAGTACAAATCAGGACTTATATCAAACTAACATGTTCTCGTCCTTATGCGGTAATTTTGCCATTGTATGTTTAACACACATCCATCATTATAATCTGTCTATACACAAAAATTTTTGAAAATATATAGTAATACTATATGTAGTTGAATGACAAATTTAAAAGAATATTGTTTTACACAAAAAAAAGCTGTTGGCCTGCTTCTCTGAAGAAAGCTGTGGTATGAATGTAGTTTATCCAACTAGGTGGTTGTTGCCCTCAAGTACGACAGCTGATGTATGCACCAAATATAGTGATCTAGGTGGATGTTGCCTTCAGAAACAAACAGTACACAAACTGTGTTATGAACGTAGTATTGGTAGCTGAGTGGATGTTTGATACAAAACGTTAGATCTGGTATGAACTTATTATTGGTAGAGTGGGCGCCCTCGGGACGATGCAGAACTCTAGATGTGGTATGAACGTTGTATTGGTAGCTGAGTGGATGTTGCCCTCAGGAAGATACAGAACTCTAGATGTGGTATGAATTTAGTATATACAGCTGGAGGGATGTTGCCCTAAGAAACGAAAAGTACGCCAGCTAAAGTATAAACCTAATATAGTTAATTTGGTGAATGTTACCCTCGTACACAAACCATATGGTAGCTACGGTGTGAGCATAGTCATATACAGGCAACTGGGTAAATGTTGCCCTTAGGGTCAAATGGTATGCCAGCTGAAGTTTGAACTTGCTTAAAGGCAACTGGG